ACCTCCCCCCCCCCCCGTTCTGCAATGTGCTTTTTGCTGATGCTTTTTCCCCCCTATAACTGGCACATCCGCTTTAGATTTCCCCTTCCCGACAAAAGTGAAATATAATATGACCATTGTGCCTAATGCCGAAACGATAAGAGAGACTAGAAGAGTCTTTCATTCCCTTTAGATTTATGTCATCAGGTTCTGGGACCATAATACTCATTCCAACAGCTCCAGGCCGCGGCAGAGCCTAGAAACAGTGCTAATGCTAATGTGCATGTGCTTTACAATATCAGCCAACTCATTTTTTTAAAGGGTTCCATTATGGAAATTAGGATTTTGTTTGATATTTTCAAGTTCAGGGGATCTATTGAAGCGAAGCCTTAAAGGGTTAGTTCACCCAAAAATGCCGAGGGTAAGTAAAACACATCAAATAAAGCTCGCGCATTCATAAAACGTGCCGCAGACGGCTCCGGGGGGTGAATAAAGGCCCACTGTAGCGAATCCATGTGCTTTTTAAAGAAAAATATCCATATTTCAAACATAATAAACACTTTTCTCTCACTTCAGTTATCTGTCATATGCGGAAGCCGTTCCGGCGGATGACGCAGCACGTATGCGCAGCGCGCGCGCCTCTGAGATATGCTAGTCTCGCGAGTTTGCTTAATAGGAGCAAAGGAAGCAAAGTTTCCTTACTTTAGCAAAGGAAAACCAGTCTCCTCTTGGTTTATATCGAAATCCTCCGACATTTTTCTTTGAAAATCCGCGGTTTGTACTTCTAATTCGTCACCGCCGTTTTGTTTTGTTCTCTCGCCGCATTCGTCACTAATCACGCAACGCCGCACGTCTTACGCCATCCGCCGGAACTGCTTCAGTGAATGACAGTCAGCAGAAGTGAGACAAAAGTGTTTATTACATTTGAAATATGGATATTTTTCTTACAAAAACACATGGATTCGCTACAGGGGGCCTTTATTCATCCCCGGGAGCCGTCATTTTATTATGAATGCACGCGCTTTATTTGACGACTTGTGGACTGTTCAACTGCAACAGACTGCATTGACTGCAATGATAGAGCTTGGAATAGCCAGGACAATTTTTAATATAACTCTGACTGGATTCGTCTGAAAGAAGAATGTCATATACACCTAGGATGCCTCTAGGGATAGTAAAACACAAGCTAATTTTCATTTTTTGGGTGAACTAACCCTTTAAAACGATATCTTCATGTTTGTGATCCACATTTAGGAGCTAATTAATATTACGGACCATATTTGCAGGCGACCCATAAGTCAGTGCTGTTGAGATGGAAAACTGGATAATCAAAGGTCATTAATATACAGAAATCTTAAAGGTGCAGTAGAAAAAACAGCTGGTTTAATTTGAAGGATCAGAAAGAGGGGATGGGAAATTATTTATGTAAAATAAATCAATAAATTGTTGAAGTAAAAAAATTAAACTAAATAATAATAATAATAATAGTAATAATAATAATCATCCAGGTGGATGCTGCACACTGGTGGTGGATGAGGAGATACCCCCTGACAATGTAAAGCGCTTTGAGTGCCTAGAAAAGCGCTATATAAATGTAATGAATTATTAATAATAAATAATGAATAATAAAAGCAAAAATGTATTAAAAATGATAAATTTGGAAAAGAATTACCTCAAGAATAAAAAAAGCTACAAAATAAAGAATGTTGTTATTAAAAAACAGACAATCTATATTAAATTCTAAATAATAAAAAAAAAGTAAAAAAAAAAAGATAAATTATAAATTCTGTATTTTATTTATTTGTATCTTTATTTAACAAAAATAAATATAAAACTACACTTTAAAAAAAAGATTTTTCAAAAGTTGTAAATAAAACAAATACTACTGGAGTGCATTTTACAAGAAAATACCATTTCTGTCCTTCTACTTCAAAATTTCACGTTTAATTCTAGTGTTACTCGCCGTTTCTTTGTAATTATTTTTTAATTATTTGTTGTTGTAATTGAATTGTGGAAATCGTTTCATAGTAATTCCTACACCATTTCAGGGTATGAAATAAATAAAAAATATTATTATGAATAATATTAAAAGAATAATAAAAATAAAAATTGTATAAAAATTATAAATAAGGAATAGAATTATCTTAAGAATAAAAAATGTGCTAAAAATTCAGAATATGGCCTCTCTGCCATTATAACAAAACAAACAAAATACAGACAATCTATTTTAAACTCAACATAACAAAAATAAATCAATACATAAAAAGGATACATTTTTATATATTTATTTATTTTTAATATTTATTTTATAAAATACAAAAAAAAACAAAAACATTTGTGTAAATTATATTATGTTATATTATATGTGACCCCGGACCACAAAACCAGTCATAAGGGTCAATTAAGGGTCAAGGGTCAAGCAAATAAATAAGCTTTCCATTGATGTATGGTTTGTTAGGATAGGACATATTTGGCCGAGATACAACTATTTGAAAATCTGGAATCTGAGGGTGCAAAAAAAATCAAAATATTGAGAAAATCGCCTTTAAAGTTGTCCAAATGAAGTTCTTAGCAATGCATATTACTAATCAAAAATTAAGTTTTGATATATTTACGGTAGGAAATTTACAAAATATCTTCATAGAACATGATCTTTACTTAATATCCTAATGATTTTTGGCATAACAGAAAAATCTATTTTTTTTTTACCCATACAATGTATTTTTGGCTATTGCTACAAATATACCCCAGCGACTTAAGACTGGTTTTGTGGTCCAGGGTCACATATTATATTATAGAAACTACATAACTACAAAAGACAACCAGTTTAGCCTAGTTGTGGTAGTTAGCTTTGTTAGACAGTAGGAATGTCAAGCAGTAATGCTCTTGATATCGAGGGTGCTTCAAGCGCTCACCGTGCACTTGATTGATCTCGGAGTTCTGCGAGAGAATCTCGTCGGCCAGTTTCTGGGCCGTGGGCAGCACTTCCGTGTGGTGGACGGTGATGAGATACTGCACAAACTTCTGCAACTGGTCCCTGTTCATCTGGAATAGAGTCTCTGAGATGGGGAGGTGAAGTTTGACCTGTTCGGGCCGCCGTACGCGGTACAGGGACAGCGCCACCACATGGGCGCAGTAGAAGATGTCCTTGTTTCCACAGCCGCACGTTACGGAGGTGATCTTGCAGCGGTCGAAGCTAATGGCTACGCTGCACACTATCTCAGGTTCTGACGGTGTGGCCGGTTCTGTTACTGTGCCGCTCAAATGGAAACCTGAGAGACAGAGAGAGAGAAAGAGTTAATATTTTGGATACGGTGTATGCTATATTTTTCAACTGATCGGACAGTCCAAAAAGTTCCATAAATGTTTTCTGACTATATTTTCTCCAAAAACTTTGATGATACACTTAGCAAACTCTGCATTTTAAATGATCAGGCTTTATTTTTCCAAACTGATCAGTTTTCCTCTAGTCTAGTGGATTATCAAACAAACAAAAACAAACAAATAAATAAACAGAAAAAATCAATTATTTAAAAAAAATAAATGAATTATAAACAAAATAAATATTTAAATAAATATACTTATAAAATGAATTTAAAAACTAAAAGGCAAAAGAAAAAAATTAACACTTAAAAATAAAATTAAATAAATAACATTTAAAAATACATATAAAATGAATTTTTAAAAAACAAAAAAACTTATAAAAAGTAATAAAATAAATAATATTTTTTAAAATAAAAAAAGAATTAAAAAATTAAAAACACAAATAAAAAATGAACACATAAAATCTAAAATCTAAAATGAATTCTTAAATAAAAATAAAAATATATATATTTAAAAACTAAATAAAAACTAAATAAATCCCACTGACACAAATGAATTCATGAACATTTCAAAAATCAGAATCTGAAAAAACTCCAACTATCTACCAATCTGGCTGATAATCAGCCACCTAGCAACCCACTGGAAGACTTTAGCAACCATCAAACTTCAAATCTCTCTTTAAATTGCTCAAGTATTCAAAGTACATAATGGCTAATAAATAATTTCAACATTAAATGTTATAATAAAGTGAAAATGGATACAGGCACACTGTAAAGAGGGAGAGAGGATGAGGAAGTTTCCGTCTGCTGTTGGTGAACAGATGTCTGTATACGTGTGTGTGTGTGTGTGTGCGTGTTGGGGTGGGCAATGTGGGCGGAGCTGCTCGGTGACTGGCGTGTGCCACTACAAAGGCAGGACTTATTTAATACAAATATTTATTTATTACATATATTTAAAAATGTAATTAACTTTTTACATAAAGAAGTGTGTTCTACATATTACTGTTGTTGGTATTAACTACTACAATTTTAGTATTGTGACTATCCTACTATATACTCGCTTCCCTAGTACACATACATATCAAAACCACCAACCTGCAAGAAAATAAAATCATAAACTACTTATATTTAATGGTCTGCGCCTCGCGTTCAAATGAGCTCTTGTCTAAAGGGTAAAAAGCCTCCTCACCCTTAAACAGCACATATCCTGTTAGCGGTGGGAACAGCCCACTATTGGTACAAGAGAAAAAGAATGAATGTTCAAGTTTCACTTCCTTTCCCAAAGTGCTGACCCAGCAGTGTCCACAACGCTAAATATATTTGATCACTTGAGAAAAGCTTTTGCTTGTAGGATGTGGAGAAAGAAGACGCCAGAAGCGATTTCGAAACAGAGTTCAAGAAAAGCCTTTACAGAAGGCCAAACACAGAGGAAGTGGCCGACGGCGCTCTAATCCAAGTTTTCGCCAACAACACTTACGTAAGACGCCGTTTTATCCTCTGTTTGCACCGGTCATGTGCAGGTTTGTGTGGAAACAAAAAGACGAGGCTAATACACCCACCTAGTGTGCTGACTACTCGCTTTAGACGTGCCGCATCGTCAAACCCCGGTTAGCGTTTAAGACGGTCTGATCCTAAATAAACACGTGACACGCACGTCTAGACGTCTTTAGGGGGGATTCCTCAACGCAAACCACCCTCTGCCTCAGGAAACAGAGCTTCTATTCATCTGCACGGGATGCAAACAAAAGCAGCGATGTTTCGTATATCACGCCGCAAATCAACTAATTACGCAGGCGGTCTCAAGGTGGCCACTTACAGTGCTCTGTTCATCACCAGACACAAACACTTAAACTCTCAGACGACAAGCTCAGCAGCGAGCTTCATAATCAAAATTATTTTTCTCTAAAATGCTCCCCGAGGACGGGGAAGGTAATAATGAAAGCAAGCGCAGATTTGGAAGCCAATATAAACAAACACAGGAGAGATTCTGCTATTCATCATGACCCAACTCAATCTGGAGCACGCGGGCGCCGATGTTGTGAATCGCTGCATTAACAGACGACGCACCGTTCTGGGTCACCTTACATCACAAAATTAAAAAATTAAATAAATAAATAACAATAGTATTAAAAGAAGAAAAAAATATATTATATTGTAAAAAATTATAACACACACACACACACACATATATATATATATATATAAATCTAAATAATTAGAAAATACATATAAGATATATATAAGAATACATATTATATTAAATAATAAATTAAATTATATATATATATATATATATATATATATATATATATGGTTTTTGTTTTGTTATATGTAATGGTAG